GTGTGTGTGTGTGTGTGTGTGTGTAGCAGGAACAAAGTGTGGGTGTGTGTAGCAGGAACAAAGTGTGTGTGTGTGTGTGTGACCTCCAAACTATCACAACAGATTTTTAAGCCACTATGTGATAGGAATAAAATTAAGTGGGGGAAAAAAAACAGGTAAACATATATAAAAATAAAAAAAGTTATAAAAAATAAAAATGATTAAAAAAATGTTTTAAACCAACCTCGCCATCTGCATGAAAATAAACGCATGCATAGGACATTGTGTGTGCGTTGAGTGCTGCCACCATTCCACTGTGTGACATATTGTGGTAGCCAGGCAGAACTCACACACGCACAATGTGCATTAAAGTGTGAGTTCCCTTTCCCAAGTAATATGGGAAAATGGAATTATCCGATCAAATCTGGCCCGATCTCTCCCAAACCTCTCCCCCGGCCATACTTACCTTTCGGCAAACAGTCCTTACCCTCCGCCAGTACAGGTGTGCCCATCTGTATCCTGTTCCGCAGTCCAGCCCTATGCATTTTGAATTTCGCTCGCAAATTGCAAGCACTCATTGGTCAGCGTCGTCAGGTGAACACTGACCAACGAGAAGCGCTTTTTAGCACAGTCAAATACAGTTTTGATTAGAAATGCACCAATACAGAGTATTTAGGCTAGGCAAGTACTTGTACTCGCTGAAACGCCCCGATACCGTCCCCAATACTGGAACTTCCGGTCAGCAGAAGATTTCCTCTGACCAGCAGTGTCGTAGGGGAACATGGAGCCAGCTTCCCATGCAATCCGGAAGCAGGGCAGCGACTAATGACCCGCCTCCCTGATTGGCCGGGAAACCAGCTCCTTGCTGAGCATACTTCTTGGCCAATCAGGAAACTGGGAGGCGGGTCATTAGTCGCTGCCCTGCTTCCTGGACATCGAGCCAGATTCCCGGCCAATCAGGTCATTACTCACCGCCCGGTTCCCTAATTGGCTGGGAAGCCGTTTTCCCGGCCAATCACAATCAAGCCGGCCAAACATGGAGTCAGCTTCCCTGGCAATCTGGGTATGTAATTAAGCATGTAATTACCCGCTGCCCAGCTTCTGGATTGCCCCGGAAGCCTGCTCCATGCCAAAGGAAGCACCAATACTCAGTATCGACGAGTACCAAAAGCAAAATATCAGTATTCGTAACTCAATACTCAAAACCTATATCTGTGCATCCCTAGTTTTGATTAAAACTATTTTTTTTTATTGGAACAAGTAATGTGTGTTTGTGTGTTATAGATATCTTTATCTATGGACACACACAGACTGATGGGTTATGGTGTGATGTTTTTTTTAGGGGTTGGGCTTGGCCCCTTAGCTCCAGTGAAGGGAACTCTTAAGGCATCAGCATACCAGGACAATTTCATGCTCCCAACTTTGTGGGAACAGATTTGGGATGGGACCCTTCATGTTTCAACATGACTGCGCACCAGTGCACAAAACAAGGTCCATAAAGACATGGATGAGCGATTTTGGGGTGGAGGAACTTTACTGGCCTGCACAGAGTCCTGACCTCAGCCCGATAGAACACCTTTGGGATGAATCAGAGCGGAGACTCCGAGCCAGGCCTTCTCGTCCAACATCAGAACCTGACCTCACAAATGCGCTTCTGGAAGAATGGGCAAACATTCCCATAGACACACTCCTAAACCTTGTGGACAGCCATCCCAGAAGAGTTGAAGCTGTTATAGCTGCAAAGGGTGGGCCAACTTAATATTCAACCCTACGGACTAAGACTGGGATGCCATTAAAGTTCGTGTGTAAAAGCAGGCGTCCCAATACTTTTGGCAGCCAGGCTGCCTAGCAACAAGTGAAGCCAGCTTCCTGATTGGAAAGGAAGTTGGCTCCATCAGCACTGCCCGTGAGAGGGAGATTTCCCTCTGACCGGAAGTTCCAGTATTGGAGGCAAGTATCAGAGCATAACTGAACAAACTGAAATTAGCTGAACAAACCGATAGGTTACCATGGGTAACTGCTCCAAGATTCTGTCTTCTCCAGTTTTGATAAATTCTCCTCTCACTTTTTAAAATTTCCCAAAAACACCACAATATGCTTCAAAATTATTGAAAACTGAAAACTATCAAATACTTTGAAAATTAGTATGCTCTGAGCAATTAGAAGCGGGTGTCAACAAGCTCATACTAGGTAGCTTACCTAGGTCTACGGGGCTCCAGTAATGTTAAAAGCACTTGGATGCCATTCACAATCACAGACTCGTTATGCTCGCCATCAAACATGTTGCCAAGAAGCTGCTCAATGGCCTCTTGCCTGAAAAAATAAAAGGGGATGAATAAATTGAATTTAACAATATTTTTTTTAAAAGTACATAGTTAGGCACCATAAATATCTGACATAGAGAAAGGACACACTCCAGCAAAAAACAACTTTCTACATAGAAGCTGAGGCTTTGTCTCCGACTGTTGCTATCTGGCACGATGATAAACAGCCTGAACCCCACTGGATGTTGCTTGGATACCCTGGAAATAACCTGCAGGCACAGGGTTCCGTGTGGGGTGCTTTCTAGACTCCGTTCTAGGAAAAGTTATCTGTGGAGCACTTTCCAGATCCAGAGCGCCAATCAACTACTCGAAGAGTCTATTGCATCTTCAGAGTTCTTTTTCGGTTTCATCAGGTACGGCTGAGGTCTTTATCACCGTCATGTAAGCCTTTAGGGCCCAAATCACCCAGCTATTTGCTGAGGCCATAAGCGCATTTCCCCCAGCCTCTGCTGTGGATTCTTTATCGAAGCTACCCTTAGCGTTCGACTACCTTCACATGTTTGCAATGTGACAAAGCACTTGCACTGATGTGCGTTTTTAAAGGCATTACCATGCATTGAGTTAGGGCTGCCCATTAATTGAATGGGGTGCCCAACACACAGAACTCACACCAAAGTAGTGTAGGCACCTTTTAAAAAAAGGAAACTCAACACATGGCACTTTATTACTATGCGCTGTAGTGCTCAGCAACACACATATGCATTGGAGTGCCCTTAACTACCTCCCGGCCAGCCGCTGTGTATACACGGCCGGCCGGGAGCTTCTTGGATGTAACTGGGCGTGTATACATGTCCTGTTACACCCGCCCGAGCGCGGGAAATCCCCGCTATTTGAAAAGAGGCAGCAATGCCCGTTAATATACAAGCGATCCGCCGGCTATAGAGCTTGTATGAGGCCCCGAGACGTGCGCCCCCCCTCCCGCTGTCAAGCTGGTCCCGCGCTCCGGTGTGAGCCCGGGACCAGCATAGTGCCTCCGTCACAGGGGATCAGAGGGAGCTCGGTACACTCCCTCCCTCCGGTCCCCTCTCCGCTGTCAGATGCTGGAGAGGAGCTGATGAAGCAGATCTCTGCTTCATCAGCTTCTTCAGGGGGGTCCTAGGTGACATTAGGGGTCTTGGAGACCCCTGATGTCTCCATAAAGAGGACCTGTCACCTCTTTTGCTATCACATAAGTGGGTTTCTCAGCCCCCTCTGTGATAGCAATAAAGTTAAGTGAAAAAAAAATAGTAAAACATTTTAAAGTTTCCCCCAGCATTTTTTTAAAGTTACACAAAAAAGAATTAAAAAAAACAAAATTTTTTTTTAAAGTCCCCACCCCTACATACACGCATGTACATATACAACATGCGTCAGCTGCGCATACCTGCAAAAACGACGATTGCGCCCATTACGCCGCACATGTTACATATCGCCGCAAACGTCGGAATGAGAGCAATAAGTTTAGGGCCATCAATCACTGATAACACTAAACTGATGAGCGGTAAAAGCTTTTAAAGCGTCGCCTATGGCCAATTTTGGGTATGCTAGTTTTTTGCGATTTTGCGAGTGCGCGCAATTTTTAAGCTTGACATGTTTGGTGTCTATTTACCCGACATGACCCCGTCTTTTATATTTTACCAAAAAAGTGGGTAATATTAGTTGTTTTATAACAATGTAAAAAAAAATTTCAAAATTTTCAGTAATTTCTCCTGAATATAGTAAAAAATAAAAACCACAGTGGTGATTAAATACCACCAAAAGAAAGCTCTATCTGTCCCCAAAAAATGGTATAAAATTCATTTCAGTACAGCGCTGCATGACGGAATAAATGTCAGTCAAAGTACTGCAGCGCTGAACATTGAAAAATGGCCTGGCCAGGAAGGGGGTCTAAACACTTGGTCTTCAAGCGGTTAAAGAATGGCTCCACAGCACAGCTGCAATAAAAACATGTTTTCACATTTCTGTAGCTCACAAACATCAGACTTTCTGGTGTCAGACTTAAACTCTCTAGGCCAGCAATCGTCCGACTCTCCACCTTTGCAAGAAAGTCCTAGGCCTGATAGTTGCCGCCTCTGAGGAAATTCCATTTCACCAGTTTCATTACAGACCTCTACAACATAACATTCTGTCGTTGTGGCACAAGTTGATCCATTCTCTTGTCAGACCGGTTCAATTGTTGCAGTAGACAAAGGTTGTCCCTGGCTTGGTGGCTCAGGAATCAGGGAAGTCCTTTGTTCCTGTCTTTTGAAGAACCCTTACAATAGATGCCTGTCTGTTGGGCTGGGGAGGAGCTCGGGATACCCTGTCAACATCCTGGAACTTCAGGCAACCAATGTTCCAGCCTTATCCGCCATGTATATTCCACTGCAACTTCAAGGGATCTAAATCTGGTTATCTATGCACTTAAGACACCACCTTTTGAACCCATTAGAGACATAACTCTTACCCACAAGTATGTGTTTCTTGTAGCCATCACTTCTGTGCCGCGAGTATCTGGTAGGCAGTCTTAACCTGCAAGGAACCCTTCCTGATTTTGCATAGGGACAAGGTGGTGTTGAGACCAAGTACTTTCTTCTGGCCTCGGCCTTTTACCTCAACCTGGTCACTGTTGTGTTCTCTGTCCAGCTCCAGTTCACCAAAAGGAAATGTCCCTCCATTATTTGGATACGTTTCAGGTTCGACAGTCTCTCAGCTGTTTTGTTTTTTCTTGACCGATTTCCTTATTGTCATCTCAGATAGATCCCAAAATGGCCTATGGTCCTAAAAGGTCTTGTTCCACCTTTCCTGTAAAGGTGCACTCTACTAGATCTGCGAGTACACATTTTCTAAGTTGTGCCAGATTGATGTTTCAGCCTCAGCTGATGCCAGCTCTAGGCAAAAGGTCCCTCAGGCAGTGCTCAGTTCTGTATTTTGTTTCCCTTGGGCCTGCTAGCATTTGTTTGCTGTGTTGTCCACCCTTCAGTTGGACTGCTTTTGAAAGTCCTGAAGGTTGAAGACTTCCCGTGTCCCTCAAAGCACAAGAAAGAAATTAAGATTTTCAAACTGACATGTTTTTGGGCATTGCCAGATTCTTCCCAACATGTCCAGTATGAAACAGATGCTCCTCAATGTCTACAGTACAAAACAGTTACTACAAGGAAAACAAATACAAGTCTAAAACTGTTAGGTGATTTATACAAAAAAAAACCAACCTAATAGTTTGATACTGGTTGATCACTTGGGAAAGGTAATAAAAGATGACCAAAACGTTTTTCTTTTTGATCAGACTGTATAGGGAAAATTATATTCTCTAATAAAGCCAAGTGCCAGGTCACAGATTTAAGTAACTTAGAAATGCTTCATTACCAGAATGTATGAAATGCATAATACCAGGTGGATCATATTATCATCTAGAGAAAACTGTTCAATATGCAGATTTTAAGAAAAATTATTTGCCAATTCATCAGAAATCATACTGACTCGTGTCTACTTGTACAGTCTCTTTTCCATCACTACTGTACTAATTTGCTTTTTTTTTTTCTTCTTTAACTGTACATTATGACGAATGCAGCAGGAGGTTCAAGCCTATTAGAAAACAAACAAAGCTGAGAACCCCAAGATGATCTTTCCCCTAGAACAGGGGGTACGCAGACTCCAGCCCTCCAGCTGTGCTGCAACTACAATCCCATGAGGCTTTGCAAGACACGGACAGCGAAAGGCATGACTCCCCGAGGTGGATGCATGATGAGATTTGTAGTTTCAGCACAGATGAAGGGCTGGAGTTTGCCTACCCCCTGGCCCAGAGATTCAGAAAACTATAGGAAGCATCTCTCCCCTCCCCCTCATCATCAACCTATCATTTACAACACCACTTCTGAGCTTTTTGACACTTTAAACAGTTTTGCGAATTGTGACAATGTTTACTTTACAAAAGAAAATGAATGTCTTACTTTTCCAGTGTAGCCAATAACTGGTCTGGCTCAGGACTATCCTGAATCTGGATCATCTGTTCACGACTTAGACGAATGATATCGCATAGTGACTGGGAAGCATTGGAATGTTGCTGAAACACATAATAAACATAGTTCTCTATTAAAATGTGAATTTAACAATGATTCCTTATGTTAACTTCATCAGATAGCTATTGCCCAATAACCTCAAGGCAATAATAGCATGCATTACCTATGACACACATTCAATTATTTTTAATTTATAAATACCAAAATTTCCCCTGTTCCTACTACAGTCAGGTTCCTAGGTTGGACTGGCACATAAACAGGTCGTAAAGAGTGAGAGGCCAACAATCTCTGAAACTGAAAGGAAAAGGAAGAAACCTGATAGTTCCAAGTGTTCCAAGTGCTAGACACCTGTCCAGGCCAAGCTGTAGTAAACACAGGATGCCACTCTTGAAGAAGCTGCTGGAGGTAATGCCCTAGACTTGCACTGTAAAAGAAGCCTTTCACATCCAATGATAGAACAGACTCAGAGGTGCCACTGTCCCTTAGAGCCAGAGCTTAAACACCACAGCCATCTACTACACATGTTCAAAGAGCAGAGGATCAACTGCCTGGGGATTGAGATCCATTTTAAGGGATTTCGCTCAGGTAGACATGTTCTGACAAAGCAATAGCCAACCAACAAGAACAGAGATCTACAGAGGCCTTCGAAGCGCTTAGAATTTGGGTCCGTAAAAGCAGTGCAATAGTCACCTTGTTAAGGTGAGATATGGCCGGATCCACAGAGCAAACAAACATCTTTTCAAATTATACACAACAAACAGATACAAGGCCAGAAATGTGGGAGCACACAGCCTATTAGGGTGTTTCTGATGTATGTATAAAAACGATTAGAAACACAGGTGCAAAAGGGAAAGACGTTGCTGCTTTTTTCAGACAACCCAAGACCAGGAAAAACCACAGGTAGAAGAAACAGGCCGTTTCTATAGTTCTGGGGTGGTGCATCAATATTGGCAAAATCAGTCTAAAACTTGAGTTATAGCAGTAGACTGACTCCTCTGGGGTAAGCTTCTCCAACAAGGAATTGAGCAACTCGGAGTCCCTCTGGGCGATGGCTCAGAAGCTGCTATGGCCGCGGGGGAACACTTATGGTCTCTTATCAGTCAGCATATAACTGGGTAATTCGGTTAATAAAGTACAAAATGACCTTGATAAAAACCCCAGCCGAGAGGACAGAAGACCAGACTACACCCAATGGAGCCAATAAGGATTCCAAACACTGGAAAGATGACTGCAAGCTGCAGATGTTAGTACCATCAGTATGTGTGCTGCATATACATGCATACAGATAACACACAGACCACAGAATACACCAACTGCAGTAGTGTGAGCAGATCCATGTCAGGCCTTAACATCACCCACCATATCAAAATTTTCCAAGAGTTATCAAAAAAATGTATTGCCCAAATTGAGAAGGATTAAAATGATATACTTACATTATCATCTTTTGAAGGATGGATCATTTCAATCAGTCTTTGAACAATTTTTTCTTCATTAAGCCACTGTATAAATAGGAAAATGACAGAGCTCAATTAAAAGGACACCTCAAAGTGTACTGTATGTAAACCCTAATTAACTTCTTACTTACACCCTTTTTGTTTGTTCAATATACTATTGAAAATGTTTTGTTATATCTGATTATGATGCTAAGAAAATGATAACTACTATAATAATCCTATATTAAAGGGTTGAATTAAATGGCAGGCGGTGGTCCGGACACAGACCGAGTGGCGGTTCTGTCTAAACCAAGTTCCCATCCCTGTGCTGGGTTATGTCCGGTTGATAGTGGATGCACCAGCTGCTGAGGCCGCTGTTCGTCTTTAGTAATCAATTAAGTGCCCTGCACCCAGCATTGGAGGAAGCGACTCATCCATCCTCCTAGAATAATGGGGGTGTGGCAGACAATTGACATCGCTAGTTGCTAGGACTACCGGCAGTCCCACCAACCTAAGACTGCAGAGGAGGGGGGGGGGGGGACACGCGTTCTCCGGTCT